AAAAAATAATTTTAAAAAATCAATATTAAAATATGTAAAAATTATCTTAACACCAAGCATTTGATCTTTTGATATTTTGATTTAGTGACATTAATCACCTTAATAGATGCATCTTCTAAATTAGTTTGGATCCTTCACCCATTATTTCACACCCATTCCAAAAAAAAAAAAAAAATACTATGCTTCGTCAAATCAAAGACGGTTGAGTGTCCTAATATGTATGCGTCACATTTCCCTTGCAAAAAAAAAAAAAAAAATCTTATTTGGCACCCAAGATAGGAAAGCACAAAAGAAATCAGAAATATGCATGTTAAGCCCAAACCAAGCTGGATTTAATTTTAGCACATGGGAATCCGTGACTTAAAGATGTCAACTCCTTTTGTTATGTTCCTTATCGAAGTATATTTTAAAAATATAATAAATATATATCTAGACCTTAAATTCAACAGTTATAAATAAAAGAATGTATAAGGTATATTTCTTAATTCAAAAATTGAAGTTCAAGTCTCCACGCTTTCAATTGTAAATTTGTTAAAAATATATATTAATTATATTTTATTAATAAATTGTTATTAAAAATATAAAAATAAATATTATTTTTAATATTAATATCACATAAATGATTTTAATTATATAATTAGTAAATTTAAAGTTAATTTTTATTTTTTATATAAATTAATTATAAAAAAATATAATTAATACATTTTTAAAGGTATATGTTAAAAAATTATATACTATATAATATTGCAATGGAGAAATAAAAAATAAAATTATAATTAACACATGGGAAGTTAAGATCACTTTGAAGAAAACATAAGAGTGAAGAAACCCAAAAGATGGCAATTGCCCAAAAAGAAACCTCTTGCTTTGGGAACATGATGCCTATAAAGGTTATTCATCATGTGCAGCTGTCCTACCACAACGATTACCACAACAAATTCATCAATCTCCTTTCCCTTCTTCTCAATGGAATTAGTGCTTTATTTTAGGTTTTATGATCAATTTCATGAAAATTTCCAAACAAAACAAAT